TGGAACGACTGATTGCTATGATGCACACTGACCATCAGGGGACAGACACTCAATGCAGGAGCTGTCCCCTGGTGGTCAGTGTGCTCCCTTGGCCCCTTCCCCCAGCCAACCTCCCGCAACCCCAATCGGCCCTAATCGCCAGCCAAGCCGAGGGACCCCACCAGTGCACGAATTTGTGCACTGGGCCTCTAGTTCTCAATAAAAGAGTAAGATAAGAATATTCTGTGTCTTTGATTTTAGAGTTTTTTAGAGTTTAATAAATCATTAGAATTATACACTTAAGTATAATATACTTATATAATGTTAGTATTATAATGATATACGTATTATAAAGGCAAAAGAAAAGTGTTTTGCTGTTTTCTGTGGTCAGGAGTAATATGTATTATTAGGATATTGTTGAGGGTCACCATTTGATGACAGGTCGTTTTTCTTGGCTTCTGAATTATCCCCAGATATTCTTGCTCAATGTTGAAACCTGTAGGTTCATACCTTGAGCTTTAGGAACCTATGACAGTTCTTACGATCTAAGAGCTACCGTGGTATGTCATTAGACTAAATTATGCTTGCATTTTGAAACGGCGTGTCAGTGCATCTAACACATTTAATGTCCTTTCAATCCCCGCCGTCCTTGTGCAGTCGTGATTGAAAAAACGTCCCCTCCTGTGCCTGTGGAAGTGGCCCCTGAAGCTTCTACCTCAAGTGCCAGTCAAGTGATTGCACCCACCCAAGTAACAGGTAGGTTCAGCGTCCGCTGTGCGACGTAGCCCAAGGAGGAGACATGGGGTTGAGCTTAATTTTAAATAGAGCATCAAAACGGTGCCAAATAGGTGAGATTGCTTCTGGCAGGTTAGTCATGGTAGCAAGATTAGGAAATAATCTGAATATTTTTTAGAAGGAGGCATATGTTTAAATAAAGGATGGCACATATGCAGTGGAATATCACACAGCTATGGAAGGAACGTCTTAAAAGAATGCTTAATGTCATGAGGAGATAGTTATGGCATGGTATTAAGAAATACAGAACACAATATAATGATTTCAATTTTATTTATTTATTTATCTTAATATATTTTTTACTATAGGCCTGGTGCATGAAATTTGTGCAGGGGGGGGGGCGCACAGGGGGGAGGGTGTCCCTCAGCCCGGCTGCACCCTCTCCAATCCAGGACCCCTCGGGGGATGTCCGACTGCTGGTTTAGTCACCATGTTGTTAAACTGGCAGTCGGACATCCCTCTCACAATCTGGGACCGCTGGCTCCTACCTGCCTGCCTGCCTGCCTGACTGATCGCCCCAACCACCTCTGCCTTGCCCCCACCACTGTGGCTTTGTCTGGCAGGACGTCTGGAAGATGTCTGATCTATCTGGTCTAATTAGCATATTACCCTTTTATTAGTATAGATTGATTTCAGAGAGGAAGTGAGAGGGAGAGAGAGTAGAAACATCAATGATGAGAGAGAATCATTAATCAGCTGCCTCCTGCATGCCCCCCACTGGGGATTGAGCCTGCAACCCGGGGTATGTGCCCTGACCAGGAATTGAACCGCGACCTCCTGGTTCATAGGTCGCCACCCAACCACTGAGCCTTGCTGGCTGGGCCCAATTTTATTTTTTAAATGATTACAAATAGAAAAGGAGGCAAAAAGCACATGAAAATATTAACTATCACCAGTTAGAAGGATCATGGATAATTCTTATGTCCTTCAATATATTTTTACATATTTTTAGAAGTCTTTATAATAAACATTATTTTAATCATTAGTGACAAATTATAAGAATGTATCATAATATGAAACAAATCAGCAGCTTAAAAGCTAATATCCTTAATGTCAGAGACCAATAAAAAGCACACAGTAGAAAACGGAGGCAGTGCAGGGCACGCGTTACCTGAAGCACGTGGCCGCAAACTCCAGCTGACAGACTCGCCCTGCTCACCAGGACAGCTGGACTGTCCCAAGGAGCAGATGGCCCAGCTGCACGACCTGGTGCAACGTGGTGACTTCCCTCACCTGTCTGTGTGCAGACCATGAGGTGCTAATATAAAGACGAGAATTATGTGTGCTCTATGTGAACTTCATGGTGTAGAGAATTGCACATCAGACCATCACAGATCCATTTAAAAAAGAAAATTGAAATTAGCACTATTTCAAGCAACTACCACCTTGTAGTTAATCCCAGAGATGCTGGGAAGAGTGACAGGGTAGGGATTCAGATGTTGAAAACAGTGGCGCAATCACAGCAACTTGAAACAAACTCTCTAGGAGACTTTAAAGTGGTTTGATTGGCAGAGGTTGACAAACATGCCTTGTGTCGAACCACGGGAGAGTATATGTCCACCTGCAGATTGATCCCGTGTTGCAATTCTACATCTAAAGTCATACCACCTGCTCATAGTAGGTATCTAGCTGTTCGCGTGTCTGCTCCTAGCCTTTGCCACGTGTTATCTACCCTGTGCAAGGAGGAAGGTCTGAATCTTCCTGCCCTGCTGGCTCAGACTTGCAGAAAAGTCCTGCGGAAGGCTCAGAAAAGCCCTATGTATGTGTCAGTCTGTAGAGTCCAATCATATCCTTTTGCTCCAGATCACGAAGTCCTGGAAACAGATGGGGAGATGTAGCAGAGGGAGACTGCTAGTGCTATTGTCAGCCAGCAGACTCCACAAAGGCTTCATGGAAGACTCTGTGAGCTTTTAGCTCCTTGTATTCCTCCTGAAATAATAATGAAGGGCCTCTCTCGGAACTTTTGCGTAACTGTGATGGACAGCTAGAGGGAGAAGTGGCCCAGATGGCAGCTTACTATTAACATCGTCTACAGCTGGGTAATAAAGCCATTTATCACTTGGAAGGTTTTGTGGCCAAATTCATGGCACTACATAAGAAGTTCATGGAGGATGGATTAGAAGGCATGATGCTCTGACATCTTTCAGTAACTCTTCCTAATGTTTCTCAGTATCAGCATTTATATTCAACTTATACTGGAAGAGCTGTAAGTAAAATAAACTAACTTTACTTAACAAAAAAAGAAAAAAAATGAGGAAATCATAGAATAATTCATAGAGAAAAACAATACCAAGAAACATATGCTAGGAAATTCAACTTTACTAGTAATCAAAGAAATGCAAATTAAAATAATTCTTTATTCTTGTCACATTAAGACTTAATTCTTCTAGAGTGAAATTGAGACTCTCACATTGCTGGAAGGAATGTAAACTGGTTCAGCTTTTCTGAAAAGCACAAACAAGAACTTTAAAAATGTTCAGAACTTTTGACTCAGTAATCCAATAGTAAGATATCTAGTGTACGGAAATCATGTCTGCTCCAACACTGATAATCCTGTATAATAAAAGGCTAATATGCAAATCAACTGAATGGCAGAACAACTGGTAGATATGATGTGCACTGACTACCAGGGGGCAGATGCTCAACTCAGGAGCTGCCCCCTGGTGGTCAATGTGCTCCCACAGGGGGAGTGCTGCTCAGCCAGAAGCTGGGTTCAGGGCTGGCAAGCATAGCAGTGGTGGCAGGAGCCTCTCCCACCTCTGCTGCAGGTGGGCGGTAATGAACGAGGAGTCCTGGACTGTGAGAGTCCCAGACTACAAGAGGGATGTCTGTCTGCTGGCTTAGGCCTAATCCCTCTGGCAGTCAGACATCCCCTGAGGGGTCCAGGCCTCTAGTGGTCTATATAAATGGATACTTACTAAAGCACCGTGTATAACAGAGAAAAAATAGAAATAACTTAAACATTTAACTTTAGGGAAATAGATGTTATATCTATACATTGGAACATTATGCTACCATCAAATATAGTATTTTTTAAAAGACATTTATTAAGATTTATCAGAAAATGGTCACTCAATAAATTGTTAAATATAAGATGAAGTATATAAAAAATGAAAGATATAGAGTATTATACCAGTCACATTAAAAAGACGTAATTGTTGGGAAAATGCACCAGATATTAGCAGTGATTATTTTTGTGGTAGGATCTGAGAGGTTTGGAGTGCAGTAGAGCCACCCAGATGCATTATGTCAGTGTCAGTTAAGGATGAGCTTAGCAGTGTGTAACAGTGTATAATAGAGGCGTTTGTAGCCTCCTTTAAAATATTTCTTTCCTCAGAAACATTAGATGCTCATTTTTCAGATAGAAATGTGCTTATAGATATGTTCATTAGCTGGATTGTGGTGATTATTTCACAATGTATACATATATTAAAACATCAAATTGTACACCTTAAGTATATATATAACTTCATGTTAAAAACAAGTATACAGTTGTGTACATATGTGCAGTTATATTTATCCAGTTATATAAAATATATGCAATTTTTATGTGTTTAAAATAACCAAAAACTTTTAGCCATTTTCTCAAAAATGTGGATGTAATTTCCCATAGCTATTTGAATCAAGCAAGCAGGCTAGACAGTATTTTCTAGAAGCACCTGTCGACAGGTGATGAGTGCAGTCATGTCATGGACTTAGCAGTTCATATTCATCTCGATCGGGGTCCTCAAGTCCTACCCTCGCCAGAGCCCTGGCCTTCTCCACAGTTACTCATGGCAGTTGCTCTTTGATTTTGCTCTTAATACTAAGTAAGTTGATATAAAGATGTTAGCTTTTGTAAGTATTTCTAGAGTGATACAATGAAACGATAGTGATGTTTTTAAATGACCATGGGTAAAATAGTGGCTGTCCATTCTGAGGTCATTTATGTGTCTACCCATTTCATTAAACCCATCTCAAAGTTACTCTCCCTGCTATGCCCTGTAATGCATACAAACTTGTCATACACTGTCTTGGTCAGCAATCATCTTCTCATTGTTAACCTCAGTGTTGAAAAGAAAATTGCAGTGTGACAATGTAATTCATGAGTTTTTTCTATATAATGTATTTCTATTTTCCAATGTCCAAATAGACTTCAATTTGTATCTTTTTAACAGAGGTCAGTGGAGGGACCTCTTGCAACTAGCTTTGTAGAAGGTCACTTTGGCTGGATAAATGCAGTGTTGTCATTTCAGTGCAGCTGTGTGAGGAATAACAAATTGAAGTCACTTAGCTTCAACGGAACTACAGAGCCGATTGAAAACAATGTGCTATACGAAGATGTTAACAGAGATTAATTTGAGTTTGGCAGGAGCATAGGGTTAACATCTGCTATCACATGTTTGAAGCACAAATATTTCCTTCCAGGAAATAAGTTAACATCGAATTTCATTTTCATGCGACATTTGTAGGTACTCCCCCTTCCTATAGTGAAAGAATCTGAAACAATCCATGAGGGCATTACACATAGTCTTTAAATTAAATGGTTTTCAACTTTGAAGCGACACTATAATCAGTAATCTTCAGTAGAACCAGAAGACTGTTTTGTATCAAATTTAATTTAAATCAAAATATAGATGTTTGCATTGGTTTGATATGAGAGCCAAACATATAAATTGAGGGAGTGATGTGATCTGTTCTCTTAGGAAATATTATGCAATGATTTGTCTCCCTAAAACACAGAAGAGGTTGGTTTTATTTGTCACTATTAGTTGCTCTCGTAAGTTGAAGAAAGGGGTAGAATAATAATGAGTCTAAACTAAGAAAAATCAGTTCCACATTGCCTAGTGATGATATCTTTATGATGGTGAGGTTGGAAGTAGACTTTTCAGATTTTGTCAGACACCCCTTGACATGCAATAATTATAAAGTGAGCCACATATTTACAGGAAATAAGTGTGACATTTTCCACTCCTAACAGCTGAGTTGGTGGCTTGCAACATTATTGGCACGCTGTGTCCAAATAAATTATACATTTCAGCATATAAATTCTTGATTTAGTGTAGTGTCTTAACAGCTCAAGGATAGGTTGGAAAATGAAACCTTTATTTCTCTGGCAAATATTTGCAAAGTGGAAACATCTGTTTCAATTGTTGTGGGACAATTTATGCTCGTTGTGTGGCAGTTAGGAGACCAGGGCATTTTGTAAAAAATTTTCAAAAAATAAGAAGCGCAATGTCTTTTCCCTAAAAAACATGGAAAAAGCAGAAAACTTTCCTTATCCTTCACGACGGTACCCTCAGGACTGGCCTTGCTGTGTAGCATATGTGCCAGAGAATGAGAATTTCATAGAAAAGGAGGGAAAGTGTGGGAGAAGACATGTTTTGTGAAGTTTTAAAATAGGAGTACTAGTAATTACTTTTCTCTTAAAAAATGGTGCTGATTAACTTTTGATGACTAGTGATGAAAAAGCAGACAGAAGTGTTTGGGAGGTGTTATGACTCTTCTTTCTATGAGAAGGGTGGAGCTCTGCCTAGCGCAGGGACGAAGGGGGTCTCTGAGGCCAAACTGGTGAAAGTTACAAGAACTAATGACTTGGGTGAAAAGTGGGACAAACAGTGTAGAAATCACGTGTGTTTTCGTAAATGTGCCTTCGCTCCTGTGATGTGTCTCTTAGTTCCCTCTAGTGGTGTCAGAGGGACATTTTCTTACCTATGTTGGTGCCCTCCCCAGGGGACCAGCATTTTCAAGCTGCAGCTTGATATACTTACCAATATATGGGGTGATCAGCTAAAGTTCCTCAAACATGTCTCATGAATATAACTTCAACTGCACGGCTTCTATTCAGAATACTAGATTGGAAGGAAAGGCTGTTCTCATTCATTTCATTTCCTGAGATTAAGGAGTTATAATTCTTAAGGATTTCTTATACCTTAGAGCTGACTTAAGAAGAAACTTAGTATGTTGGCAAACTGGTATAGGAATGTATCTGGTGTCAATTAAGCGTCACCTATTTTCAAAGACTTGTATTCACACATGTAAAAATTCTATTCTGATATGCTTGAAAAGTGACAAATATTTGGTAATCAACAAATGTGTGTGTGTGTGTGTGTGTGTGTGTGTGTGTGTGTGTGTGTGTGATGGAAACTGAGTACTGATGAAGCATTTCATGAAAATCCAAATATTTATAGTCTTAGATTTGTTTTGAATTTTTGTCCCTCATTATTAACTTCTATTTTTTTTCTTTTTGCAAATGTGATAAATATGTATTTTCTGTCTTAAGAAAATGGGAGCAAAGAGTATAAAGATCAATAATTACAAAAAACCCCGAGAAGTATAAATAGCAATAATTTTCAAAGAAGGCATCTAACTTCAACATGGATTAGATGGTCAGAGGTGTGCTTTTGACAATATTCTACTAAAGAATTCCTATCAACAGAGCAGAGAATTCTTACCTGAGTGAGGGTCTAGGCGTATAACCTGGAGAACACTACCTTTCACCTTCAGATTTTTATCACACATAGAAATGAACATAGAAATGATAACCTTTTTAATGGAAGACCTTTCTGAATGTAAAATTATATAAGCTCATTGTAGAAGTTTTGAAAAATACAGAAAAATATAAAGAAAACATCACCAAGCCCCAAAATCATGACACTGGATTTATTTCCTTAAAATCTCCTTTTCTGTGTATTTTGTAATTTAGATGACATCTATATTAACATTTGCTCCCAACTATATTTTGTAACAAGTAAACATTTCCTATCCTTTACTGACTATATGATTATCTATGCTGCATATGTAGCTTAATTCATTTTTTGATATAATTGCCCATCACTCAAATTTAAGCAATCATATTAATTATCCGTGTTTTTAGCCTTTCAAATTGTTTTCTGTTTTATCTGATTTTATATTATACTGAGTGTAAAAACTATTCTTCTGAAAGTGAGTTAGCACGACCATGCTCCCTGAAGATATCAGTAATTTGCAAGTGTGTGGTTGTCCCGGACCTCCAAGTGATTTTGTGTAAGACACCGCAGCTCTGTATGCATTTGCTTTCTTTTAAAGTCTACCAACTTTTCAAGTGACTTGCGTCTGGTGTCTTAAAGTCACAGCACAGCGAATAGCACTTGATGAAATAGGAAGACTGTAGTGGGGTTTTGGAGAGCAACTTCAGCCTCGTGCAGGTCATTTCCATGGTGAACCTTTGTTAGCCAGTTAACTGCCATGGTATTTTGAATTTAATTAAAAAAGGTCTGCCGCTTGCGGCTATAGACACTCATGGCGTACGGACGGTTAAGGCACTGGTTTTCACGTCCTTTTCTGCAGTGTGCCTGGTGGGTTATTGGTGACAGAGCAACCTGTCACCTATTTTTCTTCTCGTTCGAATTACAGACCCTCTAAGAGGGCTGGGCGTTAGGCGGTCATGCTCGAGGCCCCCATCTTACTCTGGGCCCCTTGGGCTCTTCCACAACGGCATGTGTTTCAAGCATTGCTGACTGTGTGATGACACTGAACAAACAGCTATTGTTTTAAATGTGCTGTTTCTTTGTTGTATATTCTTATGTGACTTCCACAGGAGCAACAGTGATAAGGATGATAACGGCCATCTCTTATTGATCCTATACAATGTGCCGGACATTGGTCTCCATGCATTATTGATGTTATCTCCTTTGAACCTGAGGGCCTGAAGTTGGCGCTTTGATTATTGCCATGTTACACGTGGAGAAAAGTGAGGCATAGAATTTTTGAGTAGCTTGCCCTCCTGTGACAGCTAAGAAAGGACAGCAAACTTTGTACCCAGACTGTCTTCAAGACTGGACTTCTGACCTCTGGCCCACTCCCACTGTACCATTCCACCTCCTTACAAAGGTCATTGAAAGCAGACTATTTTAGGGAGGTACGTCATGCCAGAAGGCCACCTTTGAGTCTGTGTGCTTTTGGTAATTAAGCTCCTTTTTCTGATCTTCACCCACCATGGACTCCTGTGACCCTGTGTCTATCACAGCATCTGTCTATGAATGGAGTGAGAACTCAGGGTTAATCTGCTCGGGCTTTATGGAGGAAGCAAGTCTCAAGCAAGAATCAGTGGAAGAGTGAGGGAGGAATTTAGCAGAGAAGATTTGGAAGAAGATTCTGCTTAATCTATTTCAATAAAATATGCTCATGTTGGAACTGGCAAATTAAGAGTAAAGTTACACCCACAAGTTTTGCTTTGATTAGAAGTGGTACATCTTTCTTGAAAATTAATGAGAAATTTTGGAGGAGGTTGAACAAAGTTGGAACTTGAATTTGGCCTCTTAACAAATGCAACGCTACCATATATTTCTTACCAGGGCAAATCACATGATGATTCAGAAGTGAATTTGGATGGATGGAAATTCATTGACAGGCTATCTTAGAAGTTAGGAAGCATTTATTATTTCACAACTTCCAACATGGCTCTTTCTGAGTGCCCCCCCCCACCCCAGTTCATCTAGAAATGTTTCAACATTAGGAATTATTGATGACCTTGGGTGGGCCTGATGGAACAATTAATAAAGTAGTCAAATGAATTTATACTTGATTTTAGAAGTGGTCACCTTTTGTCTTTTAAGCGCATACCTGGCAATAAGCTCATCAGGAAACACAAAGTGATGGTTTACCAGTAGCCATGAAATCTTTATATCTGTTTCTCCCCCCCAACATTTTACTTATGTTTAAAGAAATCAATGAGTGTTCCGTGAACCCTGACATCTGTGGAGCAGGACACTGCGTTAACCTGCCGGTGAGGTACACCTGCATCTGCTACAAAGGCTATAAGTTCAGTGAGCAGCAGAGGAAATGCACTGGTAAGAGACATTTCATAGGCGACATTATTCAGTTAGCCAATATTTGCACAGTAAGAGCATTTTTTCTGTAATTATCGTAGGAAAATGTTACTGTGTTTAATATTATAAAGTTCTTATCCCTGAGCTAAGGATGCTCAAAAAGAGGTTTTCTTGGGGAGCTGTAACCTCTTGGTTCAACTCTGACTACTTTGCCAAGTGTAACACAATTACATAAAGGTGAAGTGATTTCCAAAATTTTTTCAGGTAAAATATATAAAATAAGAGTTCTAGAAACAGTGAGCTATAAGTATCTATTTAGAAAAATCAAATTAATGTTAACATACACTGCAATAAAGCATTATATTCTCTAATTGCATAAAATCCGATTTCTAATAGGGATTTCTGAATTGAAAATCACCAAATGCTGACACAAAGTTCTTGAGTATGCCTCTCTGGAGAAATGTGTCTCAGACAGAGCTGGGATGGTGGTGGGTTAATTATTTTGATGTGTTAACCCTATAGTTCGTTTTTAGAAACTAAGGGTTATAAAGTGAATAAAAGCAACAGAAGCATATAGCTAATTAATACTACTTTAATATGCTAAATGCTGTTAGACAAGATTTGTGATTTTTGTTATTTGGTTTTGTATACGTATGAGCGGCTAAGGAGTCACCTGCCTGTTCACACTATGGTTATTTCCCTTTCATTTGCATACACTGTGTGTGTGACTAGAGCCATAAAGTATGAAGTTGAAAGGGCAAGCGTGCTCCACCTGTGTGTAGAGTGGGCGAGTCCCTTTCACGCCACTGGGCCTGTCCCTGCGGTCCCGGTCTGGGAGTAGCTCGGCAAATTCCAGAGCTTAGATGAGTCCAGTTACCCGGCAGGTCCTTCTATGTTGACCTGAAACCTGTCTCTTTGAAACACCAGAGTCACGGTTGTAGTTTTAGCTATTGAAGCGATATGCACAGTGTGTATTCCCTCTTCCCAGGAACAACCCTTCAAGTCTTTAAGGAGAACAGTCATGTTTCCTCGTCCTCAGCGATGAAGGCTTGTGGGACACGGGGAGTCAGCTGGTGTTTCACGAACAAGGAGATGGAGAATGTCATGTTCCAGTTCACTGATCCTTTGATCCATCATTCTCTTGACAGATATTGACGAGTGCACGCAGGCCCCACACCTCTGCTCCCAGGGACGCTGTGAGAACACTGAGGGAAGTTTCTTGTGTATTTGCCCAGCAGGATTTATGGCCAGTGAGGAGGGTACTAGCTGCATAGGTAATGGCAGTGCTTCCTGTGCCTCAATTCCCAGGTCTGCCTTTGCCTCCCCTAAGATCCCATCAGTTCACTGCTTAGTCAGACAACAACTGCCATGACATAGCAATCTGCTAGATGTGGAAAGATATGAAACTTGAGTTCTTTTCCTCCAATCCTTTTTATTTTGCATCTAAATTTTTTTTCAGTAACAGTTGACATTCGTTGTTAGTTTTAGGTGTATAGCCTAGTCGTTAAGAGACATTTATGTAACTTTTGAAATGATCTCCCCTATAAGTCTAATACCTAGCCAGCAACATACATAGTTATTAGAATATTAGAGGCCCGGTGCATGGATTCATGCACCAGTGGAGTCCCTCCACCTGGCCTGCAGGGATCAGGCCGAAATCGGCTCTCCGACAATCCCCCGAGGGGTCTCGGATTGCGAGAGGGCGCAGGCCAGGCCAAGGGACCCCACCAGTGCACAATCGGGACCATGGAAGGGCTCCAGGGCATGTCTGTCCCTGTCTTGCCCAGTCCTAATCTGGGCCAATGATCAGGGCGGCCAGCCGGGGAGGGACAGCGGGAGGTTGGCCGGCTGGGGAGGAACTGTAGGAGGGCTCCAGGGCGTGTCTGGCCCATCTCGCCCAGTCCTGATCAGTCGGATCCCAGCAGCAAGCTCGGTTGGAGCATCCACCCCTGTTGGCCAGTGCGCATCATAGCGACTGGTCGAACAAACGGTCTGACACTTAGCACATTAGGCTTTTATTATATAGGATTATTTCTCTGACCCCTTTAAACAAAGAGTGTCAAGTGTGCACAAAGACCAGAGGGGTTAAATGTTTCCTTTGGATCCCACACAAATCAAAACCACTCAGGTGATAGCAGGAATCAGTTATTTCATTCTTAAACGACACAGGGAGAGGTTTGAAATGATAGTTTGGGAAATAACCCTCGCACTGTTTCTGCTTTCCATAGATGTTGATGAGTGCCTGCGGCCGGACGTGTGTGGGGAAGGCCACTGCATCAATACCGTGGGGGCCTTCCGGTGCAAGTACTGTGACAGCGGGTACCGCATGACCCCCGGGGGACACTGCGAGGGTGAGTGTGCTAAAGGCGGCGGCCGCACCACTTCTGAGGCTGAGTAAGCCTGACTGTGCAGTGCAGGGCTGGGTGCAGGGCCTGTGGCTGACGGGCCCCCCGCCTGGTATTTCCCTCTGCCAGTCTGTGCATGCCACCAGCTCGTCTCAGCACCGCCCGCCTTCTGGATTCGCAGCCTCTTTGTCTCACTTCCGTGGCTCTGTGTAAATTATTTTCTGTCTTTATGCTCTTTCTTACGCACTTCAGTATCTTCCTTCGCTGGTATTTCAGGTGAGGTCACATTGGAACAATTATCGCAGAGTTCACACAAACCCAGACTTAATTACAGGGTCTGGGTCCTTCGCGTGAGGACACGGTTCGGGTGTAGCCACCTTTGATTTTTTTTCCGTTCTTGACCTTTTCACCCGGATACGTTCCTTTGTCTCAGCTTGTTTCTTTCACTTAGATTTTGGGACTTGCTTACAGACTCCCCACAGAAGCTCCGTCTGATCCACTGTGGGTCACATTCCAACAGCGCCAGATAAAAATGCCTTTGTTAATGACCGCAGCCATAAATTGGCGCTCCTTACAGAAATGTTTTGAAACATTTTCATTTTTTTTAAGAGGGACATGATTTATTTTATTCATTTTAATATTTTTATTGATTTCAGAGAGGAAGAGAGAGGGAGAGAGAGATAGAAACATCAGTGATGAGAGAGAATCATTGATCGGCTGCCTCCTGCATGCCCCCTATTGGGGATTGAGCCCACAACCCAAGGGTGCGCCCTTGACCGGAATCAAACCTGGGACCCTTCAGTCCACAGGCCGACACTCTACCCACTGAGCCAAACTAGATAGGGCTGAAAAGTTTTTATAGCATGGTCAAAGTGATGAACAATTTCACATTCTCATGTTTGGGTCCAAATTGCACACAGGTTCTTTTTGAAATCCTGATGGTACTTTTCCCTTTAATTATTTTCATAAAGAAAACAGCATTACCCTGATCCCAAAACCAGACAAAGACATTAAAAAAAGAAAAAAGAAAATTGCATTGAACTTTGGCTTAGATCCTGCCATGGAAACATGAGGGTGAAGGTGCAGGGGTCTCTGAGCTAGTGTTTGAGGAGCCCAGATGTGGGGGTGGAGCTGGGGCCCCGGGGTTCCCTGCCCGGCTGCCCGAGGTTCAGCCTCTTTTCTAACATGGCTGGGCGTCCAGAGGGAGGGAAGGAGGTAGATGGGTTGGGGTGGGGGTTGCTCTCAGCTGTCCCTTGGCGTCTGCAGATTGGTTTTCTTCACAGTCCTATCGGCCCAGGCCTGGAGGGAGAGCTAATTAGACAGTTTTTGGCAGCCTGCGCCTGCCTCCTGCCTCTTGCCTTGGCCCCTTCGGTTCTAATCGAGAGGGAAGTGGGAACAGTGTACATTACCGGATCTCTGGTCAGCTCGAATGAGAACAGAGCCGTGAACTGTCCCCCGAGGGCCGAGGGACATGGTGGAGTGCAGGTGTGATGTGTCCCCACCATCCTCTTCCCAGGAACTCTCTCTCTCCGTTTGGAGAGGCGGGTGGACACAAGAGAGAGAGGAGCTGTGGCATCAGCTCACAACCCCCACAGATCGTGACTGTTTGCTTGGGAGCCAGTGAGTTGGCCCCTTTGAAAGTTACTTCTTCCTCTAACATGGCCGCTGAGAAGTTGACCCTTCAGGGTTGCTGAGAATAGAAATGTATGTTGCAGTAGCTTATATGGTGCCGGTCACCTTATTAGTTCTGAGGAAGCGTTTGTTTCTTAAACTTTGCCCTTCTCTGATGCCTTTTCTTTGTATGTAGATCTTCTCTGTACATCTCTAGTTGTGGGAGTACTTAAAAAGAAGGGTGTATGTGTAGGTATTTGATAAGCATTTATATGCAAAGCAGCACTCCCCAAGGAGGTCAAATATGGATCTTTATGTTCTACATACAGTCTCAGAATGAGAAGACCAGACATTGAAACAATAACTGTAGCATAAGGATGGAGAGTGGGAAGGAGGAGAAAAGAAATGTTGGAAGTCTATGGGAAACAGGAGACTTTTCGGTAATATTCAATGTGTGCAGATTATTTAACAGAAATATTACCAGAGTTCCCTGTGTCAAAAAACATATACTTCTCCCCCCATGAAAAGGCTTGAGGAGAAGAAGGAGCCAAAGAACATGGCTGTTTGCTAATTTGGTCATGGACCCGACCCAAAGGTCCTCGGGCTCCTGGCTCACGGAAGGTTTTCTCAGCTGTCCCTGACAAGGCTGCTTTCAAACAGCGCCAGTCTCCAAGGAGCCTATTGTAGTTCACAGACATTATCTCATGCGTCTTTACTTTATTCCGTTAAGATATTACCAGTCAGGTAGTCCCCGATGCATAAATGAGGGAACAAGAGAGCAGGTGAGGGCAGCAGGAAATTCAGGGATGTTATCTGGTGTTGCTCAGTTGTTGCACCTTATTTATCGGACCAGCCGCCCTCGGTGACCTTCTCTGACTTAGCAGTTGCAGTTCTGTTTAGAAAAACATCCCATCCAGAGAATAATGTCATGCTGTTTGGAAAGTGAAACTGGCGAGCATCATCTTTTTGTAGAACAAGAAGTCCCAGAACATCTGACCTAAAAAAAAAACCACACACACAAAACCACTGTGTGTCATTGTCTATTGGCAAGAATTTTTCACCGATGGGAAAAATAATTACAATGCTGGCCTGGTGTTGATTCTGTTACTATCGTCTCCCACTCTTTTACTTCAAGCATTTTTTTTTTTAACACACATCCAGGGGTATGTCATGGGAGATCATTTTAAAGAATTTACCAGAATGAAGATGTCAAATGCCCATGCCTGTTCTGTGTATCCATCACGGATTTCTTTCACTTTTCAGCTTATGTCCTGAGATATCTGTCTATAGTTGAAGTATGATTAGAGGTCTTCTATACATTTTATATTGAGACACTTAGACATTAAATCCACTCACTGAAATTCAAAAAAATCCAACTCCAGAAAAACACTTACTGTAAATATATCCTATGTCCTTCCCCCATTTTGTTTAACTATTTTAAAAAATGCCTCAAGCTATTGGAGTCATTATCTCTGCCACAGTCCCAACCCTATTTAAGGTGTTTTGTCCTCATATGGAAGAAAACAATTATTAGTAATGTCAGTTAGCTGTGAACGTGAAAAGAAATGTGTATTTTTACCAGAAAATACTACCATATGATCTTATCACCATGTTTGCTGGGAAATCTTGAAAGTATGTGATGAGTTCATTCTCTTCTAGTGGTTTTTTTTCTACTTCCAAGGAATTCCTAGCATATGAAAGGTTTTAAATTATTTAAACCCAGGATGTTTTGGGGCCCATTAGGCCAAAGTGAGGATTTCCCCAGAGTGTCAAGTGTCTATAGCGCCGACTTGTCACTGGGTGGATGTACAGGGTGGGGCAAAAGTAGGTGTACAGTGGGGAGTATTTGAAACACAGAGTTTATTCTTGTATTCACTATGGTGTCATTTTCCACATGGACAACTGTAAGCCTACTTTTGCCCTACCCTGTATGGCTTTTTCCTGCTCACCCCTATTCTCTTTTTTTTTTTCTGGCAAACTGCACACTTGCTTGAAAGGGTTGATGTCCAGAAAGTTGCCTTGGAGACGTTGCAAGCTTCTAGACTAGGGAGTTCAGGCCCTGCCAGTTGGAGAATTGGGTCCCACGACATCCTGGGAATGTGTGTAAATGTTTTGGTCAAGGTGTACCTGGCCGTGCAGAGCGCTGTGTGTTTATAGACCTGTGGCACTTAGCTGGTTGTTTTCCCCACCAGGTAGGGCAGGCATTTCCCCCCTTTATCACAGAAGTGTTTGCTGTAGTATCCTGATAAAATGTCTGTGACCTAGCTTTTTGATTTTTCAGATATTGATGAGTGTTTGAGTCCAACTACTTGTCCAGATGAGCAGTGCGTGAATTCTCCTGGATCTTACCAGTGTGTTCCCTGCACTGAAGGGTTCCGAGGATGGAATGGGCAGTGTCTCGGTAGGTACCACAGAGTTCTTATCATATAGTTTTATTTCTTCTGTCCGGCCTGTTTTCTGACAGAGTGGTGTAATGCCAAATGAGCCCTCTTTCAAAATAAAATACAAATGAATACACACACATACATATGGAATGTAACAAAATATTATTCTAAGACAACTTCAAAGAAAAGTTCTAAGTAAGTTTCAACCATGGAGAAAATAAGGAAGTGAGTTGGCATGAGGAATGTGGGATTTTTACATGCAACAAATAATCCTGGTGGAAACGCATTGTTACCTGATGTGTTAAATAACCAAAACTACATAAAATAATCGCCACAGGGAGAACGGTGGAAAGCAAAATACTTAAAAAGTGAGAAAAGGCATAAGAAGAAGTTGTCAGAGACCACATAGAATTAGGAAACATACAAACACAAACTTGCAGCAGAAATAGCAGATGCAGAAAGGGAAATCTTGATTGATTGCTCATGTCCCTTATATAATACATTTATTCATTTAAGTATTTAATAAAGAGTACCTGCATCAGGCACTGAGAGAGATCTGATATACTTGCTTCGGTTCTAATTACACGGGCTCTCACTACCTGTCTCCTTTTCGTGGCCTTCCTTCATGTTTCTGTCTACCATACAATCTTTTCCTTAAAAGTTGAACTCTTTTGCACTCCGTGCCAGACTCTGAACTTTTCTTTCATTTATTCCTTCTATCCTTTCTTTCACAAATGCTAGACAACTTACTATATATGCTCAGAGTTGTACTAAGTGCCGGGGTATATCAATTGCCTTTTTCAAGGAACTTACTATCCAGTGGGGAAAATGGGTAACCGTCCAGAGATCTCATAAATCAGTGCAAATGCACAGCTGATAAAGGTGCTAGAAAGGGATGGTTGTGTGACGCCACAAGAGCCTGTGCTATAATGAGTTGCCTCAAGGAAAATTCTTGAGTTAATTTTTCATTGGATAAGACGATGGGAGGGAGAACGTTTTGGACAAAGGAAACAGCATATGCAGGGGGCTTGTAGAAAGAGGCGGTCATGTTCCAGCAGCTGAAAGGACAGTGTGGCTGAAGGACAGTGATCAAGGAAAGATTTGCTGCAGGATGAGGAGTAGAACATGCCAGACCTTCTGGGTCTGTTGAAAATGTTGGCCTATTCTTGCAATTCTGGGGAGATACTTAGGTACTTCAGGAAGTGTGGTGTAGGTAGGCCTGGCAAAAACAATCTCCATTTCAAAGCTTTGGACTCAGCACCAGGCAGCATGAGCTGTACCTGGTGCAGGTGGCCCCAAACCCTGAGCCTCATGCCCATGCCAAGAGCGTCTATGAATGGAATTGTGAGATGTTGATCTTTGGGGAGAAGAAAATATTTTTTCATTCATTGCTTATTTGATAAGATTTTGTTTACGACGTCTGTGTTGGTCAGAAAGTGCATTTGGTTTTAATTTTCCGATTTGGCATACATTTTATAGTTGTCTATGAAGGTTCCATTCGTGCTCTCATTTCCACATACGGATGGATATTATAACCCAAGAGCAGATCCTGAACTGTACCTTACATAGCTAAGTGGTGATATAAACGCAGCCCTGATTCATGAATTTGCTAATGGAATGTGACTGACCAAATTGGCAAGTGATTGCTCTTCAATATAAATGCATTTGTCTAGATTGGGTAGTAATAATAATAAATGGCTTGTCATACCTAGATGTATACAATAAATCTAATCGTGACCACTTTGCTCCAGTTGTAGTGACAGAAACACAGCACCTCATTTAAAAGTAATTTCACTTTGCCAACCAGATTAGTAAAATCATACGCAGAAACATGAAGTCACTGTGCTACGCAACCAAAGTCACACTTAGCCGCTTGTTCTAAGCAATAGCTTTCGTTTTTGCATTCCGAAGGTCTTGCATCTCCTATTAAAAATAGGCAGCGTACTTTTTCCTTCTGTTCTGGGTCAAATGTTGGGCTCTTTGTCATCTATAGACCAAGCTTCTCTGTGGTATAATTGCAGTTCCTTCCATTGCTCAGTTGGACGTGTGCTCATTCTGAATTCCTCACGAGGGCTTTTGCAAATGATATCAAAATGGATTTTCCATCATAATTTTTTTATGGCAGTAGAGCTTTCATATGTTGAAAATTTGAGTGTGACAGAAAGCAGAAAGATATTGCAATAAACCTTTCTGCTCATATTGAGCCAATGGATGGATTGAATTTTTCTGCTGAACTCTGACAGTGCTCACGAATACCCAGCCTCTCCTCTTTGTCTCTGTAACTTGTAGAGTTCAGTTCTCACCTTTGTACTTGTGGGACTCCAGAAGGTGTAGTCCTTACTTAATCTTACCTTTGTGTTGAGCTTATGGGTAACACGACTTGATCTATATGTATTCATTTATTTATCAATTGAGTGCCTACTATGAGCCAGGTATTTTTGTAGACTTTGGGGATGGAGAGTGAACAACGTAAATTCCCTCCTTGCATTGCACTTCTACCGTAGAGCTACTGTGTTTACAAATAAGTAACTCAACAATGAGAAGTATATGGTGTGTCAGATATGAATGCCATGAAGGGAAGGAAAGCAGCATAAGAAAAAAGAGGGAGTGTTAGAGTTTCTGTGGTGGTCAGAGATCAGTCATTTACAAGGTGTTCCTTGTTAACCATTTGCTTTGTCTCTAACAATTATTTGTGAGTAGTGGCATTCTATATCCTGTTGGTTCAGATAATTTAGAATACATTGATGAGACTTTTATTTTCCAACTCTTAATGTAGGAGGACAGTAAAGACTTAAAAAAGTTCCCAGATCTCACTGTTTGAAGAAAAGCCCTACACCTGGCATTTGCTAGTGATCACCTATAGAAATAATTGCTACATCACAGGGCTGTTCTGTGCCATATGTCTCATAGTCTCCTTCTTCTACTACCCTACTCACACTCACTCATTTTTTAAAATTATGTGATTAAACGTGTACAGTGTTGTGTAGAATAGTATTTTTACTTGCATTATGCTTGGTGTTTGCTTTCTTTGTGTGTACTCTGTCCATCTTCATTCTGATTTGACTCATTTTTATTTGAAATGGTTTAATTGGGAATTAAGAATTGCTTTTTTGACCCTTGCGTTCTGCAGGGATTTGTTGCCAGTTACACTTTCTGATTCTTTCACTAACTAAACAGTGGACTTGCTGAAACCATTGATGGCCTGTTTGTCTTCATGCCATGTACACTGGGTCTTACTGATTGATGCTTCTCCTTGGTTGGTGAATTAGGACAGAAATTGTTTGGGGCAGAAACAGGTATTCAGCCCAGGACACGTAGTCCTTCATCTGAATAGTTTATTGTCCACTCTCAAAATATCTACCCCTCAATATTTTCTGGCAACTCTTTTTGGACCTCTGTTAATGTAGCATCTTCTTTCAAGTTGTGGATTTTGGTCCTGTCTTGAGAGCCACTTTCATCATTCAACACTGTATTCCTTGGACCTCACGTTTCAGCCTGGAGTTGTTGCCCATTTGATCCCCACCTCTAATGACTATTTCAACACCTTGAGTTCTGTCTACTTCCAACTGGCTGCTCCAACCAGGACTTTCCTTGAGGAGAGCCAGCCTGACAGGTACTCAATTTATAGGTTTCTCTTGACTCCTGGAGAACTATCCTGATTCCAACCCAACTAGATTATTCCCCAAAGGAAATTCTCTCATATTTCATTGTTTAAAGGTACTTTCCAGTAACTCTGACATAAAGATCACATTTCCCTGAATTTAGGCAGATTAGGGACCATGTGACCGCTCTGAAGCTTAGTTTTAATATCTGTAAAATAGGATTTGAAATACTTTCTTCATAGGGTTTATTGTCAGAATTAAGTGAGCGATATAAAGTGCTTTGTTTGACATAAAGGACTCCATCAATGTTAGAATTCTTCTTCCCCCCCTGGTACCCTCCCTTTTATCTTCCTTGTCCTGAAATACACACAAGATGGCGGATGAGCTGACCATCTACCTTTTGTGGATATTATAAAATGTCAACATCCGACTTATCCCTAAACCATTATGTGCTAAAGGAATCTCTAATCCGTCAGCAAGTTATTGAGCACCTAACCATTTGTCTGCCAGATGCCAGAGAAGATCTGAGATGGTGAAAAAGCAAAGTAAAACAAGAGTAGAATGTGGTTACCTGGGGCTGGGGGTGGGGGGTTGGGGAGATGTTTAAAGGTGCAAACTTGAAACTCTTGATAAGTACGTTCTGGAGACCCAGTGCACAGCATGGTGATTGGAGACAACAGCACTGAATTATAAACCTCAGAGAGACTAGATCTTAATTGTGATAGAGGTGTTAGCTAATGCTACTGTTTCACAACATATAAGGTATCAATGCATCCCTTCAACTTATATAATGTTATGTGTCAATTACAGCTCAAAACAAAAAAAAATTCTTTTGTGAAGGAAACATGCTTGTATGAGAATAACAACAAAAAACCTCACTTTATGTAGTTTACAAAGGGCTTTGACTTTGTTGTTTCATTTGATCCTCCTGGCAATCTTCCCTGTGGTACAGCTAGAGAAACTGATTCCCAAATAGGTTAACAGGTTTGCTCAAGGTCAGAGGTAAGACGTGGCAGGGCGAGGACCAGATCCCAGACCCTCTTTCTCCAAAACAATTTTTTGTTTTGTTCTACATAGTATCTCCTGTCTCTCTCACGTGCACTCAAGAAAACTCAACAACAAAACAATGTAATTAACATAATAAGGAAAGGAAAGTTCATAGGAAGGAGACGTCTGTGTGGGCTGGAGTTGCCCCTTGCACGATGTAATAGTAATGGCTAGGGGGCCGCCAGAGTCAGAGATGTCAGACCTGCCCCATAGATAGCCCGGTTGAGTTTTGCTGAAAGACACGGGTGCTGTTGGAAAGGTAAAGTAAGAAGCCAGTGAGTTGGTGGGATTCGTGGAATTGATCTTCTCGGGCTGTCCTTGGCTCCTTACCGGGGATGTGTATAGCCTTGGCTGGCTTCCAGTTCTGAAAAGCAGTGCTGTGTCTTCAAGGACCATATATTTTTGTAGACAGCTCTGCTACTGCATAAATTGGTCAGAATTGACAGCAGGCCGGAGACCCTGAGGATTTACTGTACCTTAAATGCCCTTGAGGTGGTTGGGTCACACTGGCCTAGCCAGCGTCTGTCTCTCATTTGTCAAGTATGTGTTTCTGTCCAGTCTGGTCTCTTATCATCTTTAGTATAAAAGACTGTGTGTGAAGAATAGTTAAGGGATCATTGAAGTAATAGCATGAGTAATCCTATACTTTTATGTAGCTATAGTGATAGAATAAGATGTTTCCACCCTCCTACCCTCTCTCCTCCCATATCAAATGATGCTCATTCATGAAGTCCACATTGGTCACTAAGGAATTAAATAAGGCTGAATGGACGCTGAAAAATGCCTGGTTCACAGTGTGGACAAGTTCACCTCCTTGAAAGTACAGGAAGTAATGCAGGCCAGTGGTTGCTGGAACCAGTCCTGACCCACCCCAAGGACCTAAGTGAAGTGGAAGGTGAGGGTGCAGCACAGCCTTGGGCTGACTGGTGTAAAATCAGCCACTGAAAACCCTTTGTGACTTAGAAGTCAGGCCCACCAGGTAGTCTGGTGTGTTCCCAGGATATTAGGAAGGGAAGTTTCAAAAGAGTTCCTGACTCAGATGAAATACATCCCAAGGCAGCGAGAGAATTGCAGGTGGGATTGCTGGCCAGCTGGGAGTCATCTCTGTGAAATGGATGAGGATGGAAAGTTGCCAGAGAGCTGGAGAGAGATTAATGTCCTCATTTCCCCCTAAAGAGGAAAGAAGGTGGAGTCAGGAGCTAATGACCTATGAACTTCAAATTGATCTTGACAAAGAACTGTAGACTGCAGGATTCAGGTGATGAGGTGAAGCACTTTTAAATGAAAGCGATGATCATAAGAATCAGCCAGAGTTCAGTCAGGGCAAACCATGCCAGACTGTCTTGAGTGCTTCCTCAGGGAGAGCGATTAGAGGGGTAGGTCAGGAGCTACTCCGGGCGTGGCATTTCTGGTTTCAATGGGCCATTTGTTACAGTCTGTCAGGGGATTATAGATGAGAAGGATCCGTTGGGGTTGGGCAATAGAATAGTGAGGAGGATTCATAAACTTTTGAACTATCATATCCACAAAGTGCTGGTCTCATAAATGCCAACAGCTTCCTTACTGCGGGAGGTTTTCACTCATTCAATGAAGCCACTTTTTCTGTGGACACGATGTTTTTCATGATAAAATTCCCTTTTGAACTCACAATGTATAGGCAGTGTAAGAATTTGGGTAATGTGGCTCTCTTATAAGACTGTAGTCTTAGAGTAAGGTGAGTTTTGATCTCCAATATAGACGTTACTGTCTCCCTCTGCTTGGGGGAGGCTGTGAGTGATGGGTGCTGAGGTGGGCAGGGCCCACCTTGTTTCCCACGGCATTCATCCTCCCAAGGGTTGGAAGGAAGGATTGTGGGGACCAGCCCTTCTGTCCATACCACTCGAGACCCCGCAAGTTTGTGTCCTTGACCAAACTGAAGAACAGTGGGAACCACTGAGGATTTTTAAAGTAGAGGAACAACCATTGATTGGATCTGTGTTGTAGAAAGGTTACTCTGGCTGTAGGTTGGGTAATGTTAGAAGAGGGCAAGACTGGAAATAGAGAAATAAAAGGCCATGGCAGTAACACATGTGGGAGAGAATGGTAGAATAGGAATGAAAAGAAAGTGAGGATATTTGAGAGATATTTGGAAGGTAGGATTGATAGGACTGGGTAATAAGTGTAAGAAATCTAGAAAGGATGATGCCCATGTTCCTGACTTGGGCACTTGAGAGGGTAGTGGCACCATGTACTGACATGGGAGACAGCATTCAGAGGAGGCAGTGGGGAAGGTCAGTTTTGGCCGCGAAGACTCAGAGGTGTCTGCGGGACATCAAGTGGGGATGTCTCATAGACTGACCTGCTAGATGTAGGGATCTGCAGTTTAGGAAATAGGTCTGGGCTAAAGATACAACAATGAGTTTATTTTACATCCACCAAGTGAGGCCCCGTCTAGATACATGTCTTATATAGAGATTCTTTTTTAATTGAGGTATAATTGACATAATAATGTTATATTAGTTTCATATGTACAACATCATGATTCAATATTTGTTTACATTGCAAAATGCTCACCACAGTAAGTCTAGTTAACATGCGTCACTATACATAGTTACAAATTCTTTTTCTTTTCTTTTTCGTGTGATAAGCTACTTTTAAAATCTTCTCTATTAACAGTTTTCAAATATGCAATGCAGTAGTTTTAACTGTAGTCACCATACTGTGCATGACATTCCCAGGACTTACTTTATTTAATTTTAAAATATATGTTATGGATTTTAGAGAGAAAGGGAGAAGGAGAGAGAGAAAAACATCAATGATGAGAAAGAATCATTGATCAGATGCCTCTTGCACACCCCCTATTGGGGATCGAGCCCACAACCCAGGCATGTACCCTTAACCAGAATTGAACCACGGACCCTTCTGTCCACAGGCCAATGCTCTATCCACTGAGCAAAACCAGCTAAGGCTGAATTACTTATTTTATAGCTGGAAGTTTGTACCTTTTGACCCCATGTAAAGGTACTTTTATAATATTTTACTATATAGTTACTTTCCCAAGGGCATGAGCTCCATTAAGTCCAAATACTCATTGAATCCAAACTGCTCGGTCTCCATGTGAATGATTGACTTGCAAGGATTCTGGCTCCATGCAATTATGTCTGTAATAAGTGAAGAATAAAGACATCAGAATACCCTAGGTATTTCAAGGCAGTCTGCTTCATAGTTAATCATGGTAGTCGCCTGACAAAATAGAACTGTTTTAAGTATCTCATGAATAGTAATCGGTAATGCCTCTTCATTTACTTTAGAGAAATATGGTCTTGAACTGATTTTGCTATTACGTTCTCCAGCCCTGTAAGTCACATTCCCTGGTGCATGAATAATTAGAGAGAGCGAGCCACACATTTTTCAAGTTGTTACCATTTTTTTCAGGCAAACCAGATGCTAAACTTGACATTTTCTCGCTGCTGTCAGGAATGGCCATGCTTAGTGTCAAGGCTCATTCTGTCCCACTGTTTACTTTGGCTTCGGTGTTTGGCTTCTTTCAAGTCACTTGCCTTCCATGTGTTCAGAGGTGGATCCCCACACAGGCGGACAGAGCGTGTGTCAGCCTGGAAGTGCTGTTCTTGCTGTGATGGATGGGGAAGAGTCGGTTCACCATGGTTAGTGGTTGTGCGAGAGCGGGTAGAGCCGCCTAAGCAGTGCCAATTGCTTGGCTGATCTCTGAATGAATGTGGAACCCACCTGCGCACACAGACTCCCCTTTCTTTACCGTATTTTGCTAAGACTTTATTTCTCAATTCTATTGTAAGAAAGATAGGATACAGCTTTAATGAAATGTGGGGCAAATGAATGCACTCTGAACTCTGGATTGCTGACCGGAAATGAGATCTCTGTTGTTGATTTGTCCGTGACTCTCCGTCTGTTAGCGTTAAGAACGTTAAGAGGGTAGAAAGCTGTTTTTCCTTTGCAGTGAGCATTGTCAAAGGAAGTGGGTGAAATCAAGAGCCTTTTCCTCCTTATTGTCTGTCTGCCTCATCATTAAGATGCACTGATTAGGTTACAGACTGCTTTACAATTAAGCCTGACTGCGATGCTGTGTGTGTGTGTGTGTGTCTGTGTGTGTGTGTGAGCACTTTGGGCTTTGTTTTCCTCTCAGGCTTTGGTTATTTATGCTACATTATGTCTTCCCACTACAACATATAGTGGACTTACCCAGGGGCATTCAAATGGGGCTCAGAACTCCAATTTTTCTTTTTAAATTAATAATGTTCTCATAGGAGCTTAATGGATGCTTTATTTCATTGAATGAAATCAATGAACACTCAGATGAGTATTTTTGCAAATAATAAAAACAAACATAAAAATCTCTCTCTGTTTCTATCACTAGACTTAACATTGTCTACGACAGAAACTTACTGTCAAGTTAGAAGGGTGTGCTTTGGTGTTAACACTGACTGGATTTCAATCTCAGAGCCACCACTTTCTAACTGTGTGGCTGGGGCAACCCTATTGGATGTCTCTAAGTCATGGTTCCTTCCTCTCTGGAAAGTGGTTCGCTGGACTTTGTTAGGATTAAGTGAGATAATATAGGTAAAGCCGTTAGTGCCTGCATCCAGGAAGTGCTTGATAAAGATTAGCTATTATCTGCCTCTTTAGCCTGTAGCATACCTTCTGACTGCCCAAATAGCCTTACATTTGTCCCCAGACTGTTTGTATAATGCTGGTTTTGTTAGTTTTTTTTCACCTATTACACTTTTTCTTGAGGTTTCTCTGGGACCCCAATCATAGCTTTTGCTCCCATGAATCCTCACATCTTACTGAACTCAGTTCTCCAAGCAGAGCTTGACGAATCTTTGCTTTCTTGGAATATGTTCTTTTGTAGGGGATGTTGCTCCCAAACCACTCTCTCTTCTGCTCCCCTGTCCTCCATTGAATTCATTCATACAGCACGTTTGGTTCCTTTTGTCAGTTACTTTGTAGGGAGTAAATTAAGGCACAGAACCGTCATATAAGCAGCTCACACCACAGCTTTTTCTCCTTCTAAGGGTTAATGTGAAAGCTTACCTTACAGATCTTTTGAAGATCCACTATTTTTTTTCTAACTAAATTCAGCTTTCTTCATTTTTTTTTTAAATTTCTTCTCTGACCTGTTTTTGTTTGTTTGTTTTATAATTTCCCTTCCCAATGGGCACCATTCCTCAAGATGTGGATGAGTGCCTGGACCCGAAGGTCTGCACTAATGGGACCTGCTCCAACCTTGAAGGCTCCTACATGTGTTCCTGTCACAAGGGCTACACCCCGACCCCAGACCACAAGCACTGCAAAGGTAAAGACTGTCATCACCTCTCTCCGTGTTGTTTGAACTTCCATTAGGAATATGTGAGAGTAACTAGCCTTAGAAAGGGACCCACATTACCTGTGGTTTATGTTCACTGAGCTACTTGGGTATGTAGACCATAGCTATGTATACAATGGAAGGTAGTGTATTTTTACAGAGCATCTGTAAACCATAGATCTGTTTATTTAAGTTTTTTTCTGTTTCTATAAATAATATGTACAGTTGCACAACTCTGTGAATATACAGAAACATTGAATTGCATACTTTAAATAGGTGAATTGCATGGAATGTGAATTAGATCTCATTGAAATTGCTACTAAAAAAAACATACCCAAGATGTGGGTTTGATCCCCAGTTGGGGCCTGTACAGGAGGCAACCGATGGATGGTTTGCTCCCACATCAATGTCTCTCTCTCTCCGTCTCCCACTCCTGCTCTCTCTCCCCCTTTCTCTCTCTCTCTCTCTCAAATCAATAAAAATGTATCCTCAGGTGAGGATTTTTTAAAAAGTTCCTATCTTCTCCTTTAGAAAACTATATAGGCACTAAGTGTTTTCCTTATTCATCAATCAAAACCTTTTCTTCTTATAATAATAAACTACATAACATCCTTTTTCTTTAGTTATTTCATCATCTTTTCCAAACCACATCAGCTCATAGATGTCAAATTCTTCCCAGGTCATAAATCTCTCTCTTTTCCAACTTTGTAGCAAAGCTGCTAATCTCACCTTGTGGATGGTCTGAAATACTGACTTTGTGTTCACCTCACTAAATAGACTGACAGCCTTTATCAGGTTATGAATACATTACCTAACGTGTTCATTTATTTCTGCTTTATTCTTTGCATCTCTTTGCATCTGTGCAGTTTAGCACTGTATGTCCTAATTTTATACGTAACTAGAGGTCGTCTCTATTTGAACTCTCAGCTGGACTTGTCAAAGGAATATGTGCAAAAAGTCTCTTAATTATCTTTCATAGAGAATAATATTTTATTTTCATCTCTTGGCACAAAAGAGAGATGACATTTGTCCTGCATGCCTGTGCTTTAGAAAGCTTTCTTTTATCGTGGGAATTTGGTCCCTCCTCCGAAACGAAAAATGCCTTTTGATCTGTAGAATTAAACAGCCTCTGTTCCCCTTGGTGATTTTAAAGACCCAGCGGCCACCTGATTCAAGATAACTGGGTTGCCTCAAGTTATTCCAAATGTGCGTGTCATTACTTATAATGAATTACTTCTGACAGTCTTCCCAATACAAATGAGGAACTTATGTAAGATGTCTGGCTTACCCTGCCGGTACTTGGAATGGAGGGTCTCTTCTTGTGGCAGACATCGTCACATGAGAATACTTAATTTGTCATCTTCTTTAAGAAAATTAAAAAGAGTCCAAGGCACTAAAAATGTTGTCAGATATTACATGAGATCCAACACACCACAGGAGCAGTTGTTGGTCTCAAGTTCTTGAACTGAGAGACCTCAAGTATTTTATAGAATGTGCTGAAAGAAAATATGGTGTAGGCTGTTCTTTGCTGTCAGCCACTCCTAAAACTAATAGACTTAGAGTGTGGAAAGGTATAAAATAATTCTTCTAATGAAATTCAGCTCACTTACTTGATTTCTCTTTTGGTAGTCAACAATTGGTAGGCAGGACTTATGTATAAATAAAAGGGATCAATAACACAATAAGTGAAACAAAAGTTTGTAGTACACCAATTTCTACATAAAATTAAATGGTAAAACCCCCCACAAATTCCTGAATTACAATTAGATTAATAGTTTATGTGAGCTTTTTTTAAGGAAACTTTTAATAGCTCGAGACCTTGCTTGTATCAGGATAAAATCAAAAGGTTATTGCCTCCCTAGAGGTTAAGAAATGCATCTTTGCTCAGAAAACAGGTAATTGTCAATAATACTTAGGGGGAAAGACTGTTCTCTTGGGTAAAAACTTTTAGAGACATTGTAACTAGGATATTTTAGGAAGAAAGCAATAGTCAGACATTGATTGCTAGAACTTGGTTTCCGTAAAAGAAATCAAGTCGTTTAATCAAGGCATTAAAAAAATTTTCACCACTTTCTCTTTGGATATTCCAGCAGCCATCAATATAATACCATCATTTCACTTGGCTTTCCTTGTTTCTTTAAAATTAAGTTCTGTGGTTAGAGTGTTGGCCCCCGCACCAAAGGATGTCAGGTTTGATTCTGGGTCAAGTACACATTCCTGGGTTGCAGGTTGATCGCTGGCAATCAATCAACGTGTCACTCTTCTCTCTCACATCAATGCTTCTCTCTCTCTCTCTCTCCCTCTCTCCCTCTCTCTCTCAAATAAATAAAGAAGATTGATATAACACCAAGCATCTTCTCAGATCACAATGGTGTGAAGATAGAA